CCCCACCCATGCACCAGGCATATAATAAAAGGGTAATATGCAAATTGACCCTAACAGCAGAATGACTGGGAATAACTGGTCACTATGACAAACACTGACCACCAGGGGGCAGACGCTCAATGCAGGACCTGCCCCCTGGTGGTCAGTGCGCTCCCACAGGGGGAGCTCTGCTCAGCCACAAGCCAGGCTGATGGCTGCCAGTACAGCAGTGGTGGTGGGAGCCTCTCCCGCCTCCTCAGCAGCACTAAGGATGTCTGACTGCAGCTTAGGCCTGCTCCCCGCTGGCAAGTGGACATCCCCTGAGGGCTCCCGGGCTGCCAGAAGAATGTCTGACTGCCAGCTTAGGCCCAATCCCCTGGGTAGCGAGCCCAAGCCAGCAGGTGGTCATCCCCCAAGGGGTCCCAGACTGCGAGAGGGCACAAGCCAGGCTGAGGGACCACCCGAGTGCACAAATTTTTGTGCACCAGGACTCTAGTTAGTAAATAAAGATAATCTATATATATAAAAGGCTAAGTGACCATCTGACTGGCCGGTAGGTATGACGCATACTGACCACCAGGGGGCAGATGCTCAATGCAGGAGCTGCCGAACGACAGAAACTTTGCAGAGTGCCCTCTCTCACTCCGGGACTCCTTGGGGGATGTTGGAGAGCCGGTTTCAGCCCGATCCCCACAGGCCAGGCTGAGGGACCACACCAATTGGAGGGACCCTGCTCACTCCGCAGATGCCCTGCGAGCCACGGTGCTGCCCCAGCTGTGGCTGGCTGGCTGGGAAGGGATCCTGGGAGGTTGGCTCCAGGGCGTGTCTGGCCAGTCTCGCCCAGTCCCACCCCACCGACCACCTTCTAATTAATTTCCTTTCAATGTGCACAAATCTGTGCACCAGGCCACTAGTTAGTTATAACCACTGGAATGAAAACAATATTCATGAGCAAGGTATAAATTGAGAGAGTTCTGGTTAAAGTGTTGTAATACAGTGACTGAGCCTTTAAGATTCATCTGGCAATTACCTCCCTCAAAAAGACTTCCTTTGTGCCCATGGAGGGAAAAGAAAGCACTGAAATGGCTTGAAATATGCGTTGATATGTGTGTCACACATTTGCAGTAGGAAATTGTTCCACTATCATTTCCCGTTTTTCCTGTAGACCTGGAAAAATGAATCAATTTTTGTCAATAAGCCTTGCAAACTCTACAGTTTCAGTTCTGATACCATTAATAGCAAGGTCTAAAGTCATATTCATTCACTTCGATGTGTCTGATGACCCTCTGGTTCATCCTTCTGAAGGATGTTCAGTAAAAGGAAGTAGAGTGACCATGAGAAGCATTTACTCTATGCCTTAATATTCTCCAGATAGTAAGAGAATGTTTGATGCACTCCTTGCTTTCTAGCATGCCTTTGTTTCCCCAGGGCGGATCAGAACCAGTCTAAAAAATGTTGTGGGCCATAATCAAACACTATTTAACTTGCCCTCTTAGAGGTGTAGGACCATGTGTTAGTGGTTGAATACTTGGTGTTTTCAGATCTTATCTAAATAATTTATTCTCCCAAATAATTTCATGGGAATGCCAAAGGAGTCTGTGTCTGCTGTTTGAAGCTCTGTATTTATAAGCCTCTTAGAGGGCTCATCCTGTGCCCTCAAAGAAATAAATTAAGAAAAGAGGGGAAATAGCAGTAAGCATTTTCTTTTCTTTTTAACAGCAAACCCATGCCCTGTCCCTTTTGTCATTCCTGAGAACGCTCTGCTCTCTGAAAAGGAGTTTTATGTGGACCAGAATGTGTCCATCAAGTGTAGAGAAGGCTTCCTGCTCCAGGGCCAGGGCGTCATTACCTGCAACCCTGACGAGACGTGGACACAGACAAGTGCCAAGTGTGAAAGTAAGTGGACAGGTGGAGTCCAGTTAAATACATTGGTTCAGGATGTTTTCTCATCTTTGTGAGACTATTTTTAATCAAGTAACTTGATGTAGATATTTAGGTCTCTGTCTAATCAGCTTCTTATTGATAGTTTTAAAAATTCTTTTAAAAGACCTTTGAATTCCAAACATTGAAAGAAAAGTTTTCAGAACTAGGCTAAAACCTACCTGACTAGGATCCACTGCAGATTTTTGAAATGTGCTCTTCTAAGATTAAATCTTCTATTGTTAAATCTAAAACACAATTTCTCTCCACATTGTCAGAGTTCCCAAACTATCCCTTAATCAGCTCTGAATGCTTTGCAATACAAACATTATTCCACCGTGGTTCTCAAGCTTGAGCCTGCATGAGAACCACCTAGAAGGTTTCTTAAAAACCTTGCTGCTCCCCTGCCCCTCAGAGGCCTAGAGTTTCTGATCTAGTAGGTCTGGGATGAGGCCTGAAATTTGCATTTCTAGCAAGTTCCCAGGTGGTACTGATGGTGGTACTGCCAGTGTCGGAACCACAATTTGAGAATCGCTGGGCAGGTACCCCCTTGATATGTAATAGGCCATCTGGCAACACCTCCTGCTGCCTCATGATAATTCTTGACACTTTCTACACTTAAAACATACCCCCTGCCCAACATCCTGCCCTCCAGCCTTCCTTGTACTCCAAGGTACTCCCTCTATAGCAATCAATGAACAACTATTCATTGAATCTACCCAGATGCAAGGCACTGGGCTACATGATACAGGAATCGATTATGCCTACAATGGTCTCCATCTTCAGGACACTTGCACTCCAGTTAGTGAGATGCGTGTATGAGGGCCACGGGAATCTGGAACCAGAGAAGAGCTTGACTTGAATTCTTTCCTCAAAACTTTCTAACTCTAAGCTTATGCTAGTACCCTAACTTCCCTGAACGTTAAGGCTCTTATGTTAAGTGAATAGTACCAATACCTATCTTATATATTAGTTTCGAAGGATCAATGAACTGATATACATTAGCAATATCTCCTTATACCAATAGCCCAAGTCCTTGAACTTTCAACTGTCAGCCCTACTGCAGCTTTAGCATGTTTACTTTACCCCAGGAAACTGTGTAGTGCAGGCGGCCTCCTCCTGCCCACATATCCTCACATTGATCTTGGCTCCTTGAGACTTACCACTCAGGGCAAGAACTAGCAGGAGAGACCTGCGCTTGTTACCCATGCTCCTTCAGTACTTGCTCAATTGTTCCTCAGTGTTCTTGAGAGGACCAGGGGTTAACTTGGAGAGAAGGAGACCTTTCCCACTATTGTTTGTTATCCTCAATCTCTCTTTTGTACTTTCTATTAGACTGGAAGTCTTTGGCTTAGAACGAAATATCTTGCCTGAAGAACCTGAACAGCCACTTTCCTCATTCTTTTTTTTTTTTTTTACAGTTCACTAAAATTATAAGATATTTTTATTGGATTGTTTGTTTTCTTGTTGATTTTTTTTAGAGTTCTTTATATATTCTTTTTTCTTTTTTTAAATTTCTTTATTGATTAATGTATTTTACCTCCTCCTGTTATATATTCTTACAAATCAGGGATTAAAATTTAATGTGCATGAGAATCACCCAGGGAAAGTATGTAAGATGCAGACTCCTATCCTAGGAACCCCTGAAATTTGCATTTTTAATAAGGAGCCAAGATGATTCCCGTATAGGGGATCTGAAATCCATGCTTGATAACCACTTGTATAAACCACCCATCATCTCTCCATGATCGTGCAACATGCTGCTCCCCAGCCTGGAAGCTCTTTCCCCCTGACCCACTCGAGCTTTGTAGCCTCGTCCAAAAACCACTCTCACTATGAATTACACCCTGACAATCATAAGCGCAAAGTTACATTCCAGTCAGTAATAGTAATTTATATTACATTACTAATTTATATCCCATTTCACTAATTCAATTTAGTTACTCTTTTTTTTTCTAAAGCATAGTATCCAGGGCTCTACTTCTGCTCTTTCTAAGTTGTATTGCAGTATTCTTTGTCATTCCTGTCTTGTCTGAGATAAGGGACAGCATTATCATCATTTATTTTTTCCAGTTTCTGATAC